TTTGCCCATTCAAACTTTCTAAGATATTATTTAGGTTTTGTTTTGGGCGGCTGCAACTTATTCAGATAAACAATTTATCTAGATAAATTGACTGGTTGTTTGGTTTGTGCGTTTAGAAAATGACTGATTTGCAGCTGTTTTTAGATAAACGACCATTTTACCCCTGATCTGGATAAACTGTCTAGCTCTTTACTTTGTTCGTTCGAAAAATAGTTGATTTGCAGCTGTTTCTAGATAAATTAACTAAAAAAGATATACATTTGATGAAGTCACACTTATCTCATAACATTCATTGTAATTTATATAATTTTGAGAATGTTTACTTCTATTTACAAAAAAATATAACAGATCTTTGATAAAAGTTAAAATTTTCAAATCTTATGACTTTATAGTAACTCAATAATAATAATAATAATAATAATAATAATAATAATATAAAAAAATCATAACATATTTCTCAAATTTAGTTATATTTTAAAATTTTTTTAAGTAGATGGAATTTGATTCAAATATTACTATTTAGGGAATAAATATAAAATAAAAATTTTTTGTAAAAAATCATATAACCATTAACCTCGATAATGCCAATCAACAGCCAGTAGAAGAAAGAAGCAAGAAAATAATTATTTTCTTCTCTGTTTCATACAATATCATTGCTTACTTTGAAGGAATCGCACCCCATTTTCTCCTTGTCTTTTGTCATTCGCCTATGTTGTCCGCCTGTCCTCTCTGTGCCAATATCTTCCCCCATCAAGGCCAACTTCTATGTCTGATTTCTCTGCTCAATTGAATGCAACACGTCTCCCTTGCAATTCAGTCATTCTTCACCTACTATACACACAAAGCCTGACGCAGCCCTAGCCGCACCTCTCTGTTGCACCTCACAAGTCGATTCTCTGTCGTCGCCGTGAATCACCTTCTCGAACTCCTTCTTCCCGCACTGAATTGTCGTAATCCTCTCGCCGGATTCTTCCTAAACCGTCCGCCACTTGAGCCGTCACGATCCCAAGATCTTCCTCCGTCCGCCACACGAGGGAGAAGGACACGGAAGACATTTGCCGATAAAACACACCTCTTGGAAGCGGGACGTGGGGGTCGATCTCGCGGCCCACTTCATTTACTAAAATCTAAATGTCGTTCTCAAAACGCCAGCAGAACACTCAAACCAAATGACATTTTGGCATTTTCAAAATGTCAACCGCAGCAATAAACTGCCCGAAACGTGCCCTTAGGGTCTGTTTGGGGTAGCTGCCGCTTCTCAGTTTTTAGTTGTAGTTGCACTGCCCCAGGAAGCTACTGTTGGGAAGCTGATTGTCTGTTTGTTATAGCTTGTGAAAAACAGTTGTTTCTAAAAAAAAATGATCATTCTGCCCCTGTTTAGTAAAGTTGTTTAAAACAGAACTGTGACCGAACAGTTCATAGAAAGATGAACAATTATATAGATGTTCCAAAAATGAAAGATAACTGCATAAATTTCTCTAAGATTCTGTAGTAAAAGGAACAAATAAGAGCACTACAAAATACTGGATGCATCTGGCGTCATACAGACTCCTTTTGCTGTCGGATGTACCTCTGAATATTTGAATCCACTGGCTCTAAAGCCCGTTTAAGCAAAATTATGATGAAATTTATAATCTATTCATGCAATTTTTTGCGACAATCTGATAGTATTCATTTAAAAACAAATCTGTCTCAATTCATATTTTAAAAGCTATGGATGTTCAAGCTAGCGGACATTGATAGAGATGGAATTAATACTCAGCTTTTCAGGAAGCTCATCCTCTGCTTGCGCCTACACAACAAATCCCATATCAATAGTCTCCGAAGTCACACAACAAAGCGGCAGCTTCAGTATCGCATTGGCAATAGCTGAACTCCCAATATCCACATCAATTTCCAGATAGTTTTCCCACAGATAACAATACCATGGAGGCCAAGAGATTCGAGCATCAGAGAGAAGGGAGAAGATCTGCACGATCTTGAAAACGAGGGTTAAACGGGGGAGGGAGGAAGGTAACGAGAGAGAGCCCAGCGCCATGTTCTTCGACTCTTCCGCTTGCGCTTCTCTGCGAAATCAAAGAAGGGGTAACACGTAAAAATCCTACCCTGAATGCGGGCGTTCAATTAAAAAATGAGGCGCGCCGTCCCAAACGTCAAATTTTTGCGGCTCAGAGCCTTAGTTCAATTAAAAAATGAGGCGCGCCGTCCCAAACGTTAAATTTTTGCGGCTCAGAGCCTTTTGTACGTTTCAGGATAAGCTGTTTATCCTAAAACGCGACCCACGTGCCGACCGTACGAGTCGACCCACGGCCTGCGTTTACTGTAAAAAATCAAACATAGTTTCAGATAAGCTTGCGAAACGCGCGAACCAAACAGTACAGCGGCGTTTTCAAAATGCCGCCCGCACTTATAAGCTGCCCCAAACAGACCGACCCTTAGTCTTAAAACAGTGATGAAAAGCTTCATTGGTAATCTTGGACCAAAGCAATGTAAAGCAACCACTAATTGAATTTAGCAAATCGAATTGATCATATATGCCAAACTACATGCACCACAACTAAAAATTCATCGGCCACACGATTAAATCAAAAATTCCTATTTTGTCTAGAAGAAAAGGAGAAAGCGACATGCATGCAAGAAGACCGGAAATCAAATTTTTCGGAACCAAGATCAAAAACCTGAAAGAGCGAGGAAAATGTAATAGCAGAGCAGAAACATGTCTAAAGACAACCTTAATTTCGTTCAACATAGAAATTCCCAATAATGTCATATGATACAAACCATACAATCATACATGTCTAAAGACAAAAAGATGGCATATCTAGACTACCTTTTGCTCAACATAAAAGTATAAGCCAACCTTAATTTCCCATTCCTACATCAAGCAAATAACAATAATGCAAATGAGCATGCAGACAACATTTTTTTCATGTATTAACACATCTAAGACCAAAATTTTTTATATTTATAAATATGATATTTTGGTGTCATAGCTTCACTCAAATAAATGAGAAATTCGCATGCATCTCTGCATGCGGTGCCGATCCTGACCGTAGATCACGGTGATCTACAGTTAGAATATATTTCAGTTTTTTTTTTTAAATTTAGGTGAGACTCACCGAAATACATCTTGACTGTAGATCACCTGATTTACGGTCAGAATCAGACACATGCGGTGTCCGTCCGTATGTCCGTAAGTAATAATTTTTCAACATAAATATTCTAAATAAGAGTATTTTAGAAAATCTGTCATGCTAAAATGGCACAGTTAGCTATAAAAAAAACTTTTCAGAAGCATCTCACAGATTTCTATTAATGGCCAAACTATCAAGCACTCCAAAGCAGCTGTAGCCTGTAGCTCTCTTCTCCAAGAACTGCTGCTGCCTCTCTTCTGCGCTCAAAGCATCACAGATTTCCTAAAAGTCGGAGGCACTCTACCTCACGCTCACAATTTTTTATTTTGGGGGAAGAAATATGAGGAGTTTCGGAGGGGAGCAGAGGAGGAGAAATATGGGGTTATCTTCCTCAATGCTTTTGGGTAGGAACAGAGGTCTATAGAAGCCGCGATCAAGTCCGCGATCAAGTTGTTACC